TTTTAGTGCCGCCCCGAGATGCACACTGCCCCCCCCCCCCCAAACGCCTTCCTCGCCCCTCCTCGCCCCACACGATGCCATGCCCGGCCACGCCCCGCCACACACGCGCTGCAGGCGGTCGGGCCGGGGACCCCGCGTGCCGTGGGCTAATATTGGGCTGAAATTAAAATTAAGATTCAGAGGGCAGAGGGCGAGGGCGAGGCGTTCGGATTTCGCTGCTCACCACGGCCTACGCTCGCGGCGTGTACAAACGACCACAGCACACGCAATTTTGGGCGTTTTCAACGTTCACCTGTGTCCATGTTTGAAACTTTTTTAACGATGGTATACAACGTTTTAAGTGTCAATTTCAAACGTTTCGAACTTTTTAAAATGTCTACTTTCTACGTCGTGTTGTGGTTTCATATACCGGTTTTGAACGTTTCGTACTTATAACTAAAACGTTTCAAAGCGTTATTTACCGCCGTTTTTCCGCGCGTTATTTTGTTCTTACGGCGCAACCTTCGCGGCCACTTCACTTCGGCGGGCCCCGCCAGTGCCCCCCGGGGGGCGCCAAGGACGAAACAATAAGCTCCCCTCGGGCAGAGCCTCGCGCTCGCTCGCGTGTCTGTCGCGGGTCCTGCTCGGCGAGCTCGGCGGGCTCGGCGCGCGCCTCCCGGTGGCGGCCGGCTCCCGGCCCCATCCTGGCCGCCAACGGCGATACTCCGCGGCGGGACCCGCCCTGCAGCCGGGGGGTATGGCAACACAGTCTCTCTCTCTCTCTCTCTCTCTCTCTCTTCCCCTCTCTCTCTCTCTCTCTCTCTCTCTCTCTCTCTCTCTCTCTCTCTCTCTCTCTCTCTCTCTCTCTCTCTCTCTCTCTCTGTCTCACACACACACACACACACATTGTCTCTCTCGATCTCCTTTCTCACTGCCCGCACTTTTGACAGCCCGGGGAGAGGCGTCATTAGGCGTCATTGCGAAAAACACAACAAATACATAATCTAATCGAAAAGTCCGACCGTCCACAGAAAATAATAAAAATACACCCAAGAGACGTTTAGTCTGCAACGAAACCCAACCGGTGATGAAAGGGCACACGACAACATGATAGTCTAAGTCGACTCGACGTGCAGCAGAAACTGCGCGCTGACTGTATCGAGGTTGTCGAGTGCGCGCCAAGAACAACTCACACCAATTTGAATTTTTTCGTGTTAGACTGCTATAGACATTACGGACTAGGGCGTGACGTGCAAGCGTGACACGGCGTGTGACGCGACGTCACGGGTCGTCACGGATCACGAGACGCAACGTCACGTCGTGTATTGACGACCCATTGTCTCTTCTTCGCGTCGCAGCCGAACACGCCCTTCCCTTCGAAGAAACGGGAGGGGAAAAATTGACATCTGTATAATTGCCGTGCCTTATTTCAGAAAATTTCAAAAAAACTACAACTCCAACAATTTTTTTTTCAAGTGTATTGATTTACGCATTAGTGCTTCAGGAGACGCCGTCAGCACGTCGAGTTGCATGGGCAGAGTCCAGCCAGCCCAGCCCAGATCGGCGGCCCACACGGAAGACAAGACTGGAAATACGCGTCCGAGAGAGGAGAGATGCCGATGCGACCGCTTGTCGATGCAAAACGCGGCCAGTAGTCGTCGGCCCAGCCCACACCACCGGCGGCGTCTCGGCTGCTGCTGCGACACTGGTAAAAAACAGTAAAAAAAACCCAGTGAAGTTGCACACGTTTGGTGTGCAAATATTGCACACTTGTTTTACCAGTGTCGGGACCATTGAACCTTAAGACCCTCAGACTTAAACTTACCCCCGCTTTTTTAAAAAAATAATTATGTTTTATTTCTCAAAATGCTTTTTTGTGTTTAATTCTAAATGTTAAATTTAATCGTTTGATTTATGGACGGATGCCAGGGCCACCGCCCCCTGGACCCCCGTTTTTTAGCCCGCCCTTCTGCTTTGAAAAAGCTGTCCAGCGGGCTTATGCAAACGACATCGTGTCTGTCTGTCTGTCTGTTCCACAAGAAGGAGATGTGCTAGAGACTTCAAATTTTCAGGGGATCCCAAGGTTCACTCCCACAAAACAAAATGCCTACGGCAAATCCCGCCAGCCACCCCTAAGGGGCTGAAAGGGGGTATCGAAGAAAACAGGAAAGGCCAAAAAGTTGGATTTTTTTTTTTTTATGATCTCCTTAAGGGTAATTTGAGAAAGTAGAGCCCTGTGGGCGGTCCGTTTTGCTCTATCTCTAACCGTTTACGCGCTAGAGGGTCTTTTAAGACGAAAATAAGCTAAAAATTGCCATAGTGAACAATAAGATGTAGAATAAGGCCTAAAAACCACAAAATAGAAAGGGAACTCTCCCCCCACCCTCAATAAACGTTTTCTAAGCAGAAGGGTGGGTTGTAGTCGCGGTGCTTCGCCGTTACATCCCTTTCTCGTGTCTACGGGGCAAACTCAAAGACGACGGGTTTAAGCGGGCCGAAGGCACACTACATCATTCGATCATGTTCTTCAGCAAATCGTGTGACAGAAATGGTCGGGCCGCAGGCCCGACCATCGCCGCCGGCAGGCCGAGCAGGCCCGGCCCCTGCCGAACGGAGTTGCCGGCGGAGCGAAGCGGAGCTGGCAACTTCGTTTGGCGGAAGGGCGGGCCTGCTTGTTTAAAGTTAAGGGGGCATCCTAGTGTAGCAGGCCTAAAAATACGTGTTTTTTGCGATTAAAAACAAAAAAACAAAAAACGGAAGCAACAGAAGGAAAACTCGGTTTGCTACATAAAAGTACACATCTTTCTCTGTCCAAAACTGCTAAAAAGTTGACCAACGCCTCACGCATACCGGAGAAACGGCCTGCGAGAAAACACGCGTCGCGAATGTCGTGGACGCATGGCGTGCACGATATCTACCCTCCAAATGGTCCGATCGGGCCAACTCCGGTATCTGCGTGTTCTTTACAATTGACGCTATGGCATGAACCTCCAACTTTGAAAACGAATGATTATTACCATTTTTTTTATCACACTAAACTTTTACTTTCAAAAAATTAAGTAAAATTTTAACTTTACGATTTTTTTGACAGGGTTCTAGTTGACCGAGGCCACAACTGGGGTTTTGTAGCACAAATTTCCTACCTTTTAAGGCGGCTCACTAGAGATGATTTGGGGGGGGGGGGGCAATCGCCCTATATCGTCCCGGCGCCGCTTAGGAATAAATGTGACAGTATGTGGCCTACCTACCTGGCAGGCGGTAGACTAACGACACTTTTAGGTGCCACCCTTGCGCCGTGCTCTACGCACGTCCTGGATTCCGTGAGAGTTGTCATGGTTTCCATGCAATCGGAGCGCACTGTCATGGCAAACAGGACGGATCGGCCGGTCGTCCTGATTTCCGGGACGCCATCCCGGTTTCCATCCAGACTGTATGGAAAACGTCCCGGTTTCCATGTCTCAAAATGGGACGGTCATGGTTTTTCCAAAACGACATGGAAACCAGGAAAGGAGTCATGGAAACCAGGACGCCGTTTTTGCCGTGAATGTGAAACGTGTCACATCGTTTGAATATTGTGTCACATTCATTTAAACGTGACTTCACGTGAATTGATGGTCAAATGGCGCCAGGCTTGGCCGATACACGTTTAACCGAATATGACAGAAAATTCAAACGAACGTGACACGATTCACAATGAAAGGAATGTGACGTCGCATTCATTAAATAACAGTGTGCTCCTTTAAAACCTTAGCTGAAAACTGTTGGTAACACTTAGAAATTTTGTTGGTTACTGATTATCGATAAAGTTATTAGGTTACTCTTAGAAGGTACGAACAAACAACAAATAGCACTACCTTCGAAATTTGAAAGTATTACCGCGAATTTTCTGAGTATTGCGCTGCCATTTGTACTTATGAGTTCATTGTCTATAATTGCAAAACGTCAGAACGGGCAGTGAGAAACGTAATTTCGAATGAAAACTGTTTTTTCAAAGGTAGTGACCATTGCGATTATTGGCAATGCAAACGCCCTCATTGCCACTGGGTTGGCAATGAAGCGCCTTTCTGGCAATGACCGGCGCAAAGGCAATGAGACAAAAATAAGACCTTTCCAGCGGCAATGAACCGAACATTCCCAACCCAACGGCAGTTTTCATTGCCAGCCCTATGGCAATGTTCTGAAAGTAACTTAAAATTAATTCGCTTTTTCATTGTTTTGCCTTATTTTTGGCATTACATTATTGCCGACGTTTAGGCATTGAACGATAATAGCCGACTGTTTAGCAGTGCACCGTCACTGCCGACATATTGGTAATGAATCTTCATTGCCGACATTTCGGCAATGAACCGTCAATGCCGGCACTTTGGCAATGAACCTTCAATGCCCCAATATGGCAATGACTGTATTGCCATAAACTTAGAATCGTTCACAAACTGACATCCACTCATTGCCAAAATTGGCAATGACTATTGCCTTTGGGCTGGCAATGAACCATTCATTGCCGCTGGAAAGGTCTTACTTTTGTCTTATTGCCTTTGCATGGTCATTGCCACAAAAGGTAGTACTTTCATCGCCATTGGAGGAACAGTGAACTCGTGCGAAGGTCGTGGCTTTGTGAAGGGACATGTTTTAGATTCTAGATACTTCGCAACAATAGTAGGCTTTGTATGTGGTTTCAGAGCGAGAGCATCAGCTGGCCAGAGTCTAGCCACACGCTCACCAGAGGCACGATGCCATGGACCAGGTTAACCATATTTGGGCTGTGGTAAGACCAACACTCACAAACCAAGTGCGCAAATGGCACAAGCAAGTAGTGCTGTATACCACGTTGCACACTCACCAGTGTTTAACCTGACATTTGAGCTAAGAAGTGTTTACCAGTAAAATTAAAAGTGTTCAACTTTAGCAGGGTTGGCCATATCGAGCTTATTTAGCCACATTAAAGTGTTACTGTTGAACACTTTTTTGTATTCAAATGTCCAACACCTAAGAGTGTGCACCGCGGAGCTGAACACATGTTCATGCCAGTTGTTTTGTTTTCAGTGCACTTTTGTTTACAGTGTTGTACCGCGCGGCTCTTCCGCGGGCTCCTGGAGAATGTGCTCGTGGCCACGGTGGCTGTGGCAGCCCTACACGCAGTCGGAGCCAAACAGATACACACCTATGCAGTGAGTTGCAAAAGCGTGCTCATTGACATGTACATGTCCACTTTTTACAGAGAATGTAACTCTGTTTACATTTAACATTAAGAAGGTTGAAAATTTCAGAAAAATGTCCGAAAATTTTCGTAAAATAACAGACAATTTCTGGGAAATTTCAGGGATATTTTCTGTTTTCCCGGAAATTTTCCAACCCTACAACGTTTTATGCATAAAAGTCTTACTATCTTGTCGTCATGATTACGGACTGTTTGTAGGGTCCTTGGGACATGTGGATTGAGAGAACCGACATGTGCAGGGAGGATGACGAGAGGATGCAAGTGAAGTTTTCGCACTACAACCCGAACAAAAAGTTTGTACCGCAGACGTGGAGCGGCTTCGCTAATTTATCGCGAGCAGTAGACGACAGTTGGTGGGTAAGTAAAGTGCGTGAAAATGTTGGAACACTCAGCAATTTCTTTTATTCTACCCAGGTTTGTGTGTACGCAGATATCTATCACAGAACTAACAGCATGGCTAGGTGCACTGTTATTCAAATACTGTGACGTCACATTCTATAAAATGTGAATTGTGTCACATTATTTAGAATATCATGTCATATTCGTATTCACGTGACATAGGTAGGCTTTTTATGCACTGATCCCTTGAGTACAGAGCAGTGCAAAAGGTATGTCACGTTCTAAAGAATGTAACATGATATTCTAAATAATGTGACACAATTCACATTATATAGAATGTGACGTCACAGTATCTGAATAACAGTATGAAATGCAAAATGCAAACACGAAATCCATCTCTTCTTCTTAATACAAAGTTTCGTAGGCCCAAGAGTATGATAAACTTACGTACAAAACTCTTTCGTACTTACGCACAATAATTTCAAATGAAAAGAATTCTTGCACAAATCATTTTACGTCAGCTACGGAAACTATGTACAAAAGTGTACATATAATTAGAATTGTGAACTTGGTGCAGTAGTTTTTTTTTGCAACAATATAAGACATCAGCAGATCGTGTTAGCTTTGGAAAATTTTCCCGCGCACAGGTCAAGGCTCCTTTGAGCATTCGCAGCAACAACCAGTGGAAAGAAAATGCTTTTGTGTTCTTCTTCCCGACGAAAGGCTGCAGCAACGGCAGAGATTTTCTTCCACCGTGCTTAAAACAGTTCTTCACCAAGGCCGGGACTCCCTGCCTACTCAAACAGGTAGGCACACTGTTAAAAATAATACATCAGACTACGTGATGACTCGCAAAAGTGTTGTTTTCATTTAAATCCTCTCGAGACTTTGAGAAATTTGGCCTGTATTGACCCACAAACGAAGCCACTTGGTATTACTAGTACTTTATACTGTGTAGTACCCGCTATACTAACGACAAGAAAACCGGTGACGATATCCCTGTACTCAAAATTATTCACGAGACTGTCGTCATCGTGACGAGAAATTTTTAAAGGGTAAAGTTACACTGCAAAGTTCTTGCAACCTGGTGGTTTGCACACTCTTCAGTTTGGTTTTAATTGGCGTTACACGTTAGTTTTATTTCTTCCAGCAAGTGCTACAATTCCGAAATACCACGATGAAAATCGAATTTCCACTGGTCCCACGCCTGATATATGGCCACTACCGTCTGGAACTGGAGGCAGGGCCGAAAAATGAAAAGTCAGAGTATTGCTTTAACGCTATCGTCCATATTATCCCTAAAGTGTGAAATACACACAGATCAAGTGGACACATTCCTATGGAGGGCTGGAGTTTCACCGAGGCTCGTCGGTATTCCTAAACCCAGGAGATTAGGACATTCAAAAATAAAAATTCAATTCAAAGGGCGATATGGGAATTAGATGTTTGAAGTAGGCCATTTCGCACACTCAACCCTTATGCATTTTGTTGTGCATGAACTTGCAGAATTTTACACAGCCATAAATATGCACAAATTTTTATGCATACACTCTAAAAAAAATCAGTATAGCATTCTGTAAATTGTTACGCAGTAATTTACATATCCTATGATACAAATTTTTGTATCAAAAACGATACAGACTTTTATAACGGATACAAAAATCTGTTATTTTCATACAGATTTTTGTATATGTTATAAGAGTCTGTATCGTTTTTGATACAGAAATTTGTATCAAAGGGATATGTAAATAACTGCGTAAAAACGATACAGAATTTTGTATTATTTTTTAGAGTGTAATTGTGTACAAAATGTTTATAATTATGCACACACTGTCCACAGTTATGCATCAAATTGTGCATAATGTTATGGCTGTATGAAATTCTGCAAGCCTTATGCACAACAAAGTGAATAAGGATTTAGTGTGCAGTATTTCACCTTTTTACCTTTGAAAACAATAAAGTAGTGTTTAAGAAATGACACTTTCTTTCCGCTGGTAAAACAAGTGTTTAATTTTGCACGTCAATTGACGTTTAAGTTCAAGTGTGCATTTTCTCGACACTTAGTGGTGTCTACTTATGTTATACGTCAATTGGTGTTTAAACTTGACCGCTTTCGACACTTCCGAAACGTATAGCAGCTGCACACGCACACCGTATGGTTCCATATTGACAGCATACAACTGTGTGACCAAGTGTGCAGAATTTAAATGTTTACAAAACGTCTAAAATTTGCACACCACGCAAGTGTGCAACTTGAGTTAAACACCATGTAATGTGCAAAATCACAACTTGCACACGTTTGGTGTGCTAATATTGCACACTTGTTTTACCAGTGGAGTGAAGCGGTCGCGGTGGATGTCGCGCGAGTGTGTGGTTTAGATGGCCGCACTCTTCGGAAAAAAGAAAAAAAAATGAAAAAAATATGAAAAAAAACACGAAAAATGACAGTTGGGAATGGCGGTTTAAACCAGACACAAGAGCAGTATCTTTAAAAACTACAATTCTTAAAGTTAGATAATATATATTCGCAGTGGGACCCTGCACAAGACCGGAAGTACACTCGCAGCCAGAGCGGCATGGGCGCGGCCCTCGAGCCAGGCCTAACCAGCCCAAACTTTACGACTCATACACTTTCATAATGTACTATCCCAACTTCTTTGAGGTCAACGCTCTCCAGGGAGGGTTGGTGGGAGGGGGGGGGTGACGAGGAAAATGGAGAGAGGAAGAGAGACGGGAGAGAGAGAGAGAGAGAGAGAGAGAGAGAGAGAGAGAGAGAGAGAGAGAGACGGGAGAGCCAGCTCCGCTACACGGCACTAAACGCGAAAATTAACAGTCGTGTCTCCTCGGTTGTTCGGTAAGCCGCCAGCAGCAGGTAAAAGAGACTCGCTTTGGCAATAAACCTCCACCTACCAAGCAGCAGCGACGGGACGGGCGACTGCAGCCGGGGCCGCCGGGGCCGCCGGGGCCTGGCGCTTCAGGAAGCCAGGCGGGCCGACCATGTCCTGCGGATACTGGTTCACACCACGCGCACGTGGACGGACGGTACGAGCACGTGCACGCACGTCACACACAGCGGCCGCGCTCGGAAGAAAGTCACCGCGCGACTCTTGTCAGCTCCTGTCTCTGTTAAGTAAGTAAAGAGCGACCGCACGGTTCGCAGGCCCCTCTGCTTCTACGACAAACGTACCTGTCGTCCGTCCGTCTGTGTCTGTCTTTCTGTGTGCCTGTCTGCTTCACACGCACGCACCGCCCACCACAGGCCATCCATCGGCCGGCTGACACTCGCACTGACACACACACACACCGCCACCAACACTGCTACTGCGCCCGAGCCCCGCACCCGGTGCGGCGCGCGGCGGGCACCTCGCGGGCACCCAGCAGCGGCAGCTAGTCGCGGCCAAGTTCCGACACCGCCAGCCCCGCCCCGCCACCCCGCACCACGGCCCAATGTCTAATGAGTACACTGCACAGGCCGCCAATGCCACTGGCTCAGCACACGGGGCGGGCAGCGAAACGCGGGAAGAACGAAACCGGGGAGGACAAGGACGTAAACAGTAAGGAAAATATAGTAAGAGAGGAGAAGGGGCGAAGAAAAGTGGGGAAAAGTCGGCCAGCGGCCGAGCGCCCACAGCGTAGGCAGCCCGCCCAGGCAGGGTGACGGGCGGGACGGCCTACCCAGCCGCGCGCCCACAGCGTAGGCAGCCC